CTCTCTCTCTCTCTCTCTCTCTCTCTCTCTCTCTCTCTCTCTCCGATTGTAGTTAAATGTTCAGGCTCGTCGATTTGCATACTATGCAAGACGCCAGATCGATTCCAATTTGGGGGAAAATATCTTATTGGGTATTGTCTGTTCTTTTTGCCTTTTTCTCTCGACGGTGTGCCCCCACTCCTCACGTTCGCCCCGGCTTGCGCATTCGAAGCAGCCTGCTAGCCTAACTATGTGTGTGAAACTGTAATCAATGCACTCGCTGTCTCCCTGCGTGCCTGCCTGTCTTTCTGTCCGTCTCTCTGTCCGCCTGGGTGTCTGCCTGTACGTCTGTCTCTCTGTATGTTTTCGCTTTGCCCAGTTACTCCGAATTACTTACAAAACAAGAATAAATACAACCCTTAACATGCCGTTTTTAAGAGTGCATTTTTATCATGACCAGTCTAAGCCCTCTCCTCCAGTTCTTTGTCCATCTTCTCCCACCGTGACGAGCCTTTGTTATTTTCCTGCTTTTTCTTTTTACTTTATCGTCTACCGGTGTCTAATAAATATGCTATTCTTGGCTGTACGCACAATTGGGGGTTTGATAGCCACTTTGGGAAGTGTACTCTTTTGTGAATCTTTATTATTCTGCTAGGATGTTGCGTTCCATTCAATCAAGGTTGCCTCTAATAGACAGGATCGAAGCAGCCATTCTTTCACATTATCTTAATTGAGTAGATGGGGATTCAAAACTTTTATAATAATATTCATCTATCAATCAATCAGTCAATCATTTGTATAAGCATTTTTATTAATTTTGGGACGACAGGACTCCATAGTTTTATTTACTCCATTGCAGCGTTGGATGGCAGAAGTTGCTTCTAAGTTTCCCTCTAAAAGAATAAAATAACTAATCACCAGGACAAGTGAGCACCATGTTATTATTAGTTTGATTACCACACCCTCTCGTCTCCCGTCCCACCATTCCCCGGCTCTTCAAAACGTTAGACAGTTTTTAAAAATAGAATTGCTGTTGCCAAAGCGATGCTTTGGGAGCTGTGAAGACTGATGTCTATAGACGAGCGACCGGGCTGTGACAACCAGACAACTATCCTTGTCTGCTGTAAAGTTGCAAGACCCATTAACTAGTTTTTTGTTTGTTTGTTTGCTTTTCTTCGTTTTTCTATTAGAATCTCTTGAGTGTTTCTACAAGACTAAATTATGATGTTATTGAGTTTGGGAACATTTTTATAAATCAAACGATGAGTACTTCATGCATCGGGTGAGCACTATTCACAGCGAATGACATAAAAATGGACGTCGAGATATTGATCACCTTTTTGATAGAGAGATATAGTCTTGAGTTGTTTTCTCGGAGGCTTTTTACCTTGCACTCTTAGTGGTATTGGTGCCGAGACTTAATTGAGAGGCTATTTACCGCACTTGTCACGGCCGGCTTCTGCTTTGCAGACACCCTTTGGGCTGTCTGGGTGTCTAGGTGCTCTACTTTCCGACCAGCAGATTTCTTTTACTGGCTATCTAGTGATTATTTTTTAGGGAGTGGGGAGGGGGTGGGGATTGGGATGCCTACACGTTGATTTAATTAGTTTCATTTGTCTCCTCACCAGACAAGCGAGTTACAGAGTGGTTATGGCCCTTTTTATTATCCCTTGTTTGACTTCATTTAAATCTTCTGTATTTTTTTTCATGGTACTTACCTCTTAGAAACTAGTAATTTTTTCAATCAGCTTCACCTATGCAGTACTGTGCTTAACCCGTCGCCATCTTTTAATTTATCTATT